GGATAAAAAACTTCTGGATATGATTGTACTTTGAGATGTGCAGTACTGTATTTCCCTGTATTCCAGCCAGCTGTCTCCTGGGGTGGACACTTCCCTTGGAGACCAAGTGTACAGGGATTGAACAGCATGGGAAATCCTCAGGACAGGGAACTATGAAGCCTGGACTCACAAAAAGATAGGCAAGGTGACTGAAGTGGGTTTTCATCAAAGAATTTATGTTGATGTGTGAAACCTTTCATTCCCATACTGACCGGACACTAATCTCCTCCAAAAATTTTGGGCCAGTCCTCAGTTACTGTCAGGTCAGATTAACTAACCGTATCGATTTCACCTTCAGTTTCAGTCTAAAGAAAAAGTGGGAAAAAGTTGACATATTAAAGCCAGGCTTGAGGTATTTTTGTTATTACTCTGCAAGGCAGGCCTGAGTAACTGCGTGCAGACTCTTTGACATAAAAAAGAGATGGCTGTAGTTTTCCTTTCAAGCTGATAAAATAGCATATTTATAATAAACAACTTTTTTTTTTTTTCTCCTTCATGCTTCTTCCCACTTTCACTTATTTATTTGTACTTTTGGCTTTTCATTTTCAAAGTTTTCTTACTTATTGCTTCAGGACAAAAAGAACTGTGATGACAAATACGGTTGTTATGTTTCATCTTATTCCCAAGGGTCTTTCCTTCTGGAGATGATGAGCATCTGCTCCTAGTCATGTAGAAATCTGATTAACAAAGCATGATCTTTGATTAGCATATTTCAGAAATTGTTTCTTATTATGAGCTGTCCTTAGGGTTTGCGTTGCTTAGCAGTAGGACAACCTTCCAAACTTATTTAACCTGTTGAGGAACTTTGCAGACATATAAATCCCTGTTTTGACCCTTTATGTTCACATGAATCATAAATTCTGCATAAGTGGGAAAAAATCTCAAGAAATAATAATCCACATCACGGGGTGTTTTGCTGTCTTGTTTTGCTTGTATTTAATAAACTTCCTTCTACTGTTTTGAACTGTAGGTAAGGGCTGTTTGTAATGAATAATAAATGATGCATTATAGTGTGTTCCATTTAAGGATCTTCATCAGCTTTTCCACCATGAATGAAATAATTCATGTAACACACAGGTGGGGAAAAGCTTTATTTCTTATTATTGCCAACATTAATATTCTCTTCAAATTTTAGAAACAAGACGCAGAGCTAGAGAAAAGTTGAGGCCTGATTTAAAAGGAAATACAGAAATAAACGCATCTTTTCCCATTCCTTTGCTTCAAGGTGATGACCATTCAACAGTATTTTTCTTTTTTGATAGACAATTTTTTAATCGCAAAAAATTTGCAAGTTGGGTTTCTTTTAACAATAATGTATTCTGTGGTGCTGTTTCAGAACTGCATGCATTTTTATTGCCTTAGAAGATCTAAGGAGTTCCTGAAGTAGATATAATTCTTCAATTAGAGTAAATTTTACTCTGGAAAAAAATGCCAAGTATTGAAACTGTGTATGATGTCCCATAGACCACGTGGGTCTAAATCTTGCTTGTTTTATTCATGCCAAACTAGTAGTGACTTTCAAGGCTAAACCTGCATCCCCACTTAAGCAGACTGGGGCTGACAGAGAACTATGAGCACAAGGCCAGAGAGTGCTTTGCAATGCCACAGCAGTGTTGGCAGCTCTTAGCCCTGGGCTCCTCGCCAGTTTGCACAATGGTTTCTGTCGATGCAGCATTCTGCATCAAGGATGTGTCACCAGCAAAACCAGACAACGTGCATGTGTCCCAGTAAAAGAGCAAGGCCAGCTGCAAGCAAGCAAAAGTTCTGGTCATTAATTTTTTTGTGTGCGTGTGGATATGACCTTTGAATTACATCAGCCCGCTGAACCCATGACCTGGTGAGCCTTCACGCTCCAAGTGGAGCTTACTTGTTAAAGGCCTTGCAGGAGGAGGTATCTCACTCGTGTTTCGCAGTTTAAGAATATCTAGGTGGACAGACAAGTAAAGAAATTGTGGCTTGCCATTTCAATCCTTGTCAAATATCTGCTTCAGTCTTTAACTCCAGTGAGAGCAAAGTAAGAGGATTAAGAACATCCATCTCACCGGCTGTGTTCTGGGAGTGTAAAGAGCAGGGCATGGGCTGCTTCTCATGTGCCTGTTAGTCTGATTTAGAAAAAAATACCAAAAGGCAACAGCAGAACAGCCCTGAAGAGCCTTTTCAACCTTTGGTCTTTGCAGTGGGACAGACCCCAGCCCCCCAAACTCTGCCCACATATTTTCCTGATGGTAACTCACTGATGTTGATGCCTCCTTGTTTATGGTGCAGGAAACAGATGGTCTTTCTCCTTCCTTTCTCACTTCACCTTTTCTATCAGTTTTAATGGCTTTAAAAGAAAAAGCTTTTAACACTTCGTTGGGGTTTTTTTGTTTGGTTTTTTGTTTGTTTGTTTCGTTGGTTGTTTTTTTTTTTACGATTTCCCCGTGTTTTGCACCAAAGGCATTCCACTAAATACATATGCACTAGTGAAGCTCAATTGCCCATCACAAATGTGTAATGGGGGTTAATGCAGTAAGAGCTCGTAGCTCTGACTGTTTAAACCAACACAGAACAGCTGCACTGCACTCCTCTGCTTGTTGGATGTACATTTGCTGTCATATAAAGAAATTCAGTACATGGAAAACTGAAACTTCTTGTACTTCAAATAGTATCCTTTAAAAGTTTCTCCGATCGTTCAGGAAAAGTGGGAGACTCAGTTACGATAATGTGCAGTAAGAGCTTTATACAGTTTGAAAAATTAAACTACGAGTTGCCCATTTCCAAGAGTGGCCCATTATGTGGGGAGGGAGGGGGGAGGTAAAATGGGATTTGAGGACACAGTGAAGAGGAACAGAAAGTCGAATCCATGGCAAAATAATGTCCAAAAAAAAGCTCGTCTAAAAATCACTTCTTAAACAAAGGTGAAATTTCTCTGTATGGCTGTGACTTCCCTTCTTCCAAAGTATTCACATAACCATTTTTTGAATATTTGTAATTCATCCTGGCAGATACATCTTATTGCTGATCTTTAGAAGCATCCTTTTGTAAGAGGATGAATTTAGATAGATAGCATTTCAAATAGGACTTGATTGCAGAAAAGTATTTATAAGAGATTTTCCCAGGTGGTATCAGTGCTCTAATTGGAGTGGTATCCAGCATAGCACTGTATCGCTCCTCTTCTTTTATTTCAAAGATTACCAAATCACCACTCATTTAAGGAAGCAGTCTATAGAAACTTGGCAGGAGCAGACAGGCTTGCACGCTGGCAGGACAGCAAATACTTTCTGCCTCTGTTGAGTTTCTGTAGGGACCAGGAGGCTGCTCTGGCACCTGCTCCAGTGCCTGATGTGCCAGCATCTTCTTGCCTCTCTACAGGGCAGCTCCTGCCTCCACTGATAACAGACCCTCTTGCTCACTTTGGGTGCTAAACAGGATGATCCTCAACCAAATCCTGATTTTACCACATCAGGCCTCTGATACATGCTTAATATTTTCATTTATTTGAGAAGAGGGGAAAGGTATGTGCAGTTCTGGTAGAACTTATTGTAATAGGCCATGTGCTAGTTTCTTCATTTAACGTTGGGAGACATTTTTGTGTATAGAGAAAAAATTAGAGAGGCTCTTCAGACTCTCATTGCTCCTTTGGGAGTGTTATTTGTTGCATCTGGAGAAAATGGTTCATTGCAAGCTCAGTGAGGACCTTTGCAGAAGCCTCCTGTTAGAATGTTGGCAGTGTACAGCTGTGCCGTTGCAGCCTCCGAGCACCCTTCTCAGATGAGCAGGACGTGTGTGTACGGACGTGTGCACGTGTGCGTTAATCCTCGTGGGCTGGCTACGTGCCAGTTTTGGTGCTCACTTTCTGTCTGCAGGCCTTCAAGTCCGTTTGCGTTGTCTTTAGGGTGCAGCACTATTCACTCCTTCGAGCCCACTCTCGTGCTGCCTTGCAGTACACTGTTACAGAGAGGCAGATTTCAGTGAGAGGTTTGGTAAATGGGTGTGTTCAGGAGGAAGATCCAGGGGATCTTTCCTAATCAAAACTAGGTAAACCCGAGTACCCTGCGCTTTCCAGCGCAGGATTGGATGTAACTTCTGCGCATTTTCCACTCACGACTAGCTGCGGTACCTCAAATATCCATCACGTAAGAGGGAGAGAAGCTCCCTTTACTGCCACCATGTCCTTTTCTCCAGCAATTTAAGACTTGTTGAGAGAAAGATTGACCACTGTATTAGCCAGTACTGAAGATACGTGCCTGGGCTCTGTGTCCCTGTCTGTCCCCAGATCTTGTTAGGCTCCTGTTAGGCTGCTGGAGAGAAGAGCAAAGCAGCAGTGATCGCTCCTCGGGGAACCACAGCCTCAGCCCAGAGCAGGGGGAACACTGGGTAGTGTCAGAAGGAGAATAAAGAGTGTAAGGACTGACTTTAGAGGAAGGACTTTCCCTGGGGAGCATCAGCAGGGACAACAGTTTGGGCATCTTTGCTCTGAGATAACAGCTGATCATGATCTCTAATCCTGCTTCCAACAGCACTGCTGGTGATGTAAATTGTTGTATAATTTTTTAATAATTATTCTATTGTTATTACTGCTCAAACATTTTAAGTACAGGAAACGGTTATCTGGGAAAATTAAAAAGCATTTCTACAAAATAATAACATTGTTATACAGTAGCTGTGAAATTAAATTTATTAGCACCCTGCAATATGTCAGATACTAGATAGCTTCTAAAATAATAGTAATTTTTTTTTACTTGTGAGTGTATTTTGTTCCACTATAACTTTTATATGAAATGAACAGTGTGCTGTAGAATATTATACCAGAATTTAATCTCTATTTAACATGCAGTCTGAAAACAACAGCACACACTATACAATGGCAATTTATTTACGCAAATGTGGGTGTGTTCATTCTAACCAGTTGTCATCTGTCAACCAAGAGATAATTTTCTATGCATTTCTCACTTTTTTTTAATATGTCTATTTTTTTGTAGCCCTTGATCCATCCAAAGATCCTTGTTTGAAGGTGAAGTGCAGCCCACATAAAGTGTGTGTCACTCATGACTATGAAACTGCTATTTGTGTAAGCCGCAAGCAGCTGGTACACAGGTAAGGAAACTTTTATGTTGTTCGTGGGGTTTGTGCCTTCACAGACAAACAGTATGATGAGAAGAAGGAAAATGAGAAAACTCCAAAACGAACATTAAAATCCATAATTTAAAACGTTCCTTTAAAGTTTAATTTGCATTTTTTTCCCAAAACCAAACAGAAGTCTTATTATTTATAACTGAGGCTATTCCAAGAAGATGAACTGGAACACGGTGCACCATGCAGTGTGGAGCACAGAATGTTTTCCCATTCCTGGAGTGGTTTTCTCCTCCCAGAGAGCAGTAACTATGCATGTTTTAAAATCTGAAAACCGAGACTATGAAAATATGGTGTCAGAGACATCTACATTTCCAGTAACTCGATTAGAAGCATTTAAAAACGGATTAATAGAGATTTTTTTTTTAAATATACCAAACCTCTGCTTAAATTTGTTAAAGAAATGAAAAAAGTTGGTGGAACTTTGTAGAGCAACTCCGTGGGGAGTCACATAATTACAGAAAGCTCCAGATCTGATTGTTGAATGACTGAATTAAGAGCAAATGAAATAGCTAACATGTTAAAAGCTTTGGCCAAGATGTTTGGGTTAGACCACAGAACATCGCTGAGAGCAAAGAAGCAACCACCAACCATAGGTTGAAATATGCTATAAATAAGCTAACATTACCCTGTGTTGGAAGCAGAACAAGTAGAACCAGTAAGGAAACTGGTTTTAGCAATCTCCAGAGTCTCTCTGAGTGAAGACGGAGAATAAAACTGAAGAAATAAGCCCCTCCACTTGCCAACAGATGTTCTGCTGTAATGGGCAACCCCAAATGGTTGGACTGTACTTGAAGAAAAAGAATGTTGTCTTGCTTTTGCTATATTGGAGTGATAAAGCTGGGGACTGGTCTCCAGTTTCTTTCCCTATTTATTAGGGAAGCAAAAATTTGTAACAACTCAGGTCACTAAATGTCATTGTCAGCTGAGATTGTAGTTCCACAACTGTTTAAGCCGAGCTAAATTCAGGATGATCTGATTCCCAAGCACTAGTGCTACATCTCATCTTATCTCACTGCTGCCTGGCTGAGGAAGCTAATCCAGTTAAAAAAAAAAAAAAAAATTACAAAAAAAAAAAAAAAAAAAAAAAAAAAGTCTTTGATGTATAATACAAAGTTAATGGTGTAATGTGCATGAGGCAGTATGTTTAATCTTTGGTTTTCAGTATGGAATGAACCCTGGAAGGGTGTTAGGAGTATGGCTACGTGCAGTGCTTACATTCTAATGACATTTTTGGCATTACATAGCTTACATTTTCTAGTTAGGATGGATTTAAAGTGCTTGCATTATATAGTAGTCCTTATGATATATAGACATAGATGTTGAGCCAAATGCTTTCTGAGCTATTTCCAGTGTTTAATGTCCCAAAAGTGGTCAAAGTGGTATAGAGTAATGGTATAGAGGAGGAGCTGAATATCCTTTTTTTTTTTTTTTTCTCAAGAAATCAGGCTGTGTTTCATGTGATCTCTCTATGATTCCTCCACTGCCAGCAGCTATTTCAGCTAACCTTTGAGTAGCACCGTGACTATGGAGATGAATAGAAAAGTATTGAAAACTTACTTTGAAAATTCTCCAAACAATTTCTAGCAAGTTTTGTAATGCCGAAAGAACTACTGCTGCTGTGTGATAGTGGCACGTATGTCCCCAAAGTGGTTTTATTCTGAAAATATCTGGCTACCCTTGCCTCAGAGAGTAGACATGTCAATGAGGAAAGTAACTAGGCCATATTCTCTGCTGATTTGAATCAGTGGCGTGACACCACTAGATTTTCATCTTTAGTGCCACAACATTCTGTTCTTTTTGCTATGCCTGACCTTAATACTGCAGTACGTCTGACTCCAGTCGTATTTAAGGCTGTGTTAATCAGGAGTAAATGCATTACAAGAGGTGGAGTTCCACCTATTTAAAACCACTGAAAGCTTGAATATATTAGTGTGGGTTCACAACCCATCAAATAACACAGCGCCACTGCGACTGCTTTGACCGTCCGCGGTGTTTTTGGGTGTGCTCGGAAGGAGTTTCTGTTTTATGTGTCATTATCAGCTTGCTGTAATGGCTTTACAAAGCACGTAGGCTCAGCAAAAAGTAATCGGGAAAGCAACATCTCGCGTTATTGCTGAGGCTTCCAGACAGAGCTGCGTCGATTTGCATCCTCTGATTAACTGGCCTGATGGAGAGTTGCAGCACAAGGAAATGGTATTTTTCCAGGCACAGTGTAGCTAACTTTGAAATCATCAGTGACAACACAATGCCATTGCTGTTTCATTTCCTTTGTGCTGGAATGCACATGTTTTAAACCAGGAATACAAAAAGAGTGTATAAAATGGAGTTAAATGGGAACTTGTTATTTTACATTTACTGAGGATCTGGCTCCGTGATGGCTAACTCACCCTGTGAGGCTTTCAGGCTCATGCCTTTAGAGTAAGACTCTCACATCTGGCAGCACAGCTGTCACATTTCTCAGTGCTGAGGCTTTGATCCTGCCCACGGCGGAGCTGCTGTTTGTGGGACCCCCTGACCCAGCTGGCAGGGCCCAGGGGTGGGTCCGTGGGAGAGCGGCGGTTGGGGGTTACCCCAGGGGTGCCAAGGGAGCCTGCTGAAGTCTCATGCTCCAGGGGCAGCTTGGCCCCTCCCATGCAGCCTCCTCCTTCCCTCTTCCTCCTCCTGTCCACAGTCACCTGGTGAGCAGCCCTGGGTCTTGAAGATAAGGGAGATGTCTGAGAGATGTTTCAGACAGATCGTAGTGTTTTGTCAGCACGTCCTCAAAGGCGTTTCCAGTACAAATTGGAGAGGGCGTCAAGAGAAAAGGCGAGACTGAAAGTGACTGAAGAGCATATGAAAGATAAATTTGAAGGTACCTTCTTACATGCTTAATAGTCCTTGGACTAACAACAGAGCCTTATGAAATCTTTTGTGTGGATTAAAACCCCTTTCAATTTGGACATGATCTATGAGAAAGAGTCTTTATTAGTTCAGTTTTCAGTAGTTAATATCTCTCAAAAATCTCTCATACATTTGCAGTCCTGTCAGACTTCATGCCACTTCTCTCTGCTGGTGTTGCTAGGGCAGTTGACGGGAAGGAAAGTTGTCATTCTTGGGCTTTTTTGAAAAGAACAGAATGAGAAAAGAGGATTGATGAAAAACTAATGGGCGTGTTAACATGTGCAGGGTTTACAGCTTTGTTCAGTCCATTTAACTGGCGATCACCAATTAGTTCATCACCGCAGTGTGTGTCAGTCACAAAGCTAATCATGCAATGTCTCTGCTTCTTCGCTGTGACTTAGAAATCCGGCTATTTACTCAGTATTTCCTCAGTACTTTTGAGGCTACTGCTGCTGACAAAAGAGGCCACTACTGAGTTCCTCATGAATTTTCTTTAAAGATCTGGACAAGTTCCCAGATAAAACATCTGTTCTTCTAAATTAGGCATCAAGAGCTTGGTCTGACCGGTGCAGCAGTGTTGGCAACGACAGTTACCCACAGTGAACAGACAAATCTCCCTCTCAGTTGATACACCATTTCTAGTTAGGAAGGACCCTGTTGAAAACAAGTCCAGTAAAACACCTCCATCTGTGGAACTGAGAATTTTCATACCCCTGCTACTCTGTGTGCTCTTTGCGTGCTTTAAATTGTAACCAAAAGGGAATTCAGAAATGAAGATCAATAATTGCAAGAATGTCAGTGACCCACCTACTTTCAAGAACTGCTTGGGAGCATTACAGAAAAAACTTTGACCACAGCAAATGCACTTTTAGGGATTTACTGACAAGTTGTGCACGTAAGCAAGGTTTTTAAACAGCGCTAATCCTCAATGTCTGTGTATTAGATCAACAGTTACATTTTAAAATGCACTAAATACAGGGCCTATAAACCCTAACCCTTGTGTTTTGCTCTCCTCTCTGACTCGTACGTGTCCATGGTTTCTCTTTCTTGCTTTGCCACCAAATGCTAATGAGGGTTGGCACACCACCAAGGACTCCTTTGGGGGTAATATCGTCCTCTGCTGCAAACCTGACTCCCACATTCTCAGTGGCCTGACCGATGTGAGGGAGGGCTTGTTTCTAAGCTGGTGATGTTTAATTCTGCGTGATTTATGTGGTAATGTTTATCAAAGCCTGAATACTTGAGCAATCTATATGAGGTGTTGTAACAGAACCAGACCCAGGAGATAATTAATTATCTTCGGATCTCCTGATACCATCAGTTTGTTTCCCAATTAGCCTTGCTGTGTTTATATCCTATTTCCTATTGTTTTGTTCATTTTCATGCTGATTCAGAAAATAATTGTTGTTCGTTTGTGTATTGAGTCAGGAAAAAAAGGCTAACCCAAAGGGAACTTTACAAAATAATATTATTCAGCTTCCTGTTGGTCTGTTTATCAGCGTTAATTGCATGTGGCTTATTTGTATCTATTTTCTTGAAAGGGCTATCACAAGCAGCAAGATGGGAGAACCCAGACAGTAATAGCGCAAGACCACCGTGTAGTTTATTCATGTTATTGTCTTTCTCCATGGAGATTATCCAACTAGTTTTTCTAGTAAGCTTTTATTACTTTAGAATGTTTCCAACAAAAAGTGTCAATACTTCTAAGTTCTCTGTAAGTCCCTACTTTCAGTTTGTGCTACAATGAAGAGGGAAGGGATGTGACTCTCTAACAGGGTGAATTCTCCCTCATTTCATCGATGTCTTGATGGCTTTTTTGTAAGTTGGCAGATGCAAGGCAGGCAAAATTATGCAGAAAATTTGAAAATCTGCTGTAAAAAATACAATTTTTTTTTTTCAAATATTTAATCTTAGCTGAGGAAAAATGCTGTTCTTTTCAGTGGTGTTGCAGTGGAACACAGTTCGTTCATCTATCCCAGGTAGGCAACGTGCCAAAAAACGTGTTTTGGGGCACTGAGGCCTTCCTGGGGTAACAGGCCTCCATAACTTTACTGGTGAGATGTGGGACTCCACTCAGAAAT